CAAACAATTAAGAAAATAATTCAGTTTTACTCTTAGAAAAAAACTTGCAACAATATAAATGTATATAAATAAAATATAAATTCTATTCTTACAATTTTTAAAAGATTTTCTGTGGGGAAAGAAACTTTTTACATCAAAAATATTGCATTGTTTTATATCTTGAAGCCCATGAATATTTACGTGCAGGTGAAAATAGCAGCTCGAAAGATGAGAGCTCTGATTTGTTTGATTATTGGAATGGGTTCACAGTAATTAGTGGTTACAGACTTACCTGTCATCTATTGTTCATTTTCAACATTCACTTATTATTCAGGTAGTCTCAAGTTCAATTTTTACCTTCACAGGTGATAATAGCTTTTTATTATTGAAACGATTTGGAAACGTTATGTTTCTTTTTAACAAGATCTAAGTCAAGGAAGAAAGCAAAATCATTTTCAAACTTTGATTAGGATGCTATCCAGAAAAGAATTGCAAAAACTACTTTTGAACAAGAGTAGAGGTTTATCCCTTGTTTCCTGTTTAGGATTAGGTTTTCAGTACCTACTAAATTCTACTTCAATTCCATACTTCTAATGTCTCTGCCTAAATTCTGAAATCTATACTATTATTGGGTTTCTGGTTCATTCTAAAGTATTTTCCATTCTCTTTTACTTCCATTAACCCCTTGCATCTTAGTGATATTATTGCCTTACTTGGAGTGAATTGATAAAAAATAAACCCACAAAAAATGTTACTACATTGAGTTGTTACCCTTAAGCAAAGGTCAAGAATTCCAAGTTATTATACTGTGCACTTGTTTATGTAATTGAAAAGCAATCTTCATGGCATCAACAATTCATGCAGCCAACTCTTTGAAAACTGAGAAATCTATTAAAAAGGGTTGAAATGAACAATTTCAAAATAGAAAAAGAAATAAACTTGGCAAGTTAGTCATGTGATATCTGTACAACAAAGTATCCAAACCCCAATCCTTGTCCTTTTGGATAGAGATAATTTAAATGCCATTGTAGTGAGACCTGATGAAAAAAAAATAAACATAAAATATATTATTAAAATTAAAATAAGGCATTTGTGCTTTCCATTATCTCTTTTTCTCTCCCTCTCTAAACTTTGCTTTCTATAACTTCTCTCTCAACCTATGAGAAGGCAACCCTCACATTAAAAGAGGAAGAAAAAAATGACTGAACTCGGCCAAAAAACACCAAAAGTTTGTATGATCAGAGCTTATTTGTGACTGAAAAATACCAAAAATCAGGGAGGCTCCAGATATATCTTCTGTTATAAACGAAAAAGAAAGGAACGCCTGCAAATAAAATAATTTCACCAATAAAAAATTGACACAAAGAGACTTTTTTATATTAGCCGAAACAATGTTTGCACCAAATTCTTGAGTCTGATCAAAAGGATAAAAACCTGACACCTCTAGGTTAGTAGTAAAGGATGGGACACCAGGAGATGACGAAAAAAAAAAAAAAAAAAATGCTACTGCGCAGAAACCAGCTATGCATTACAGGTGAAGAAGCAGTTAAGAGTTCATATGCTACTGACATTTTTGCCCTGTTTAGGGCCAAGAAAAACACAGCAGAGTGACATCAATCTAATTTCAAAGATTACTACTTTCCCTATCATTGCCTGACTTCAAACTACAGAAATGGACTTTCTCCAGACTGTTATCAATATCCACCTTATTAACAAACTTTTTTGCTATGCTGAATACCAAAGGACTCACTCATCACTCTAAAGAAAATAAATAAAAATATATTATTTATTTTAAACCCTTGAGTCAATTTTTTTATTCCCAAAGTTTCTGATAAAATAATTATCTTACCACCTATCTACACTGGCAACCTTCTGATGTGAACATGCATGACACAAGTCAACAATTTCTTTGTTGTGAATCCAGTGAGGAAATGAAGTGGCCATTAAAAACTAATATTTCAACTGAAATTTTAAGAAATAATAACGGGGTGTGATAGTAAAGAATAGCACTGACCTAGTATGATCATTGGAAATTGATGGAGAATTGATCTGAGAGTTTGCCGCCACCCAATGTATATATATATATATATGTCAGAAGTCACTCTTTTCACTTAGTTACAGATGTAGATATTAATCATGGCTCAAGTGGTATTTTGAATTGTAATGAACAGTAAAATAATTCTGTAGAATATAACAATCCTCTTCTCTTGATGATGACAATAATGCAGTCCAAGTTGATGAAGAGCAATTGAGAAGGATAAAGTGATAGCTTGATAGGGAATAAAATCTAACACTAGTGAATATGTTTCTGGCAAGATATTTACTAGATCTGGAAATGCTACTTACTAGCTAATATAAAAATTTATAACATTAACTATAATTCTGATGGCAGTACTAGTTAGATTGATTTCAATAAATTTGGTTGATCAGTTGTGGCTGATGATGTGGAGATGATTTTTGATGTTTTCTTTATCTTTGGTCTCTCATCTTTTGTTGGGAAGCATTAGGGCAATGAGTGTCTGTCATCCAAGTTTGATCCCTGGATGTGTTTGAAAAAAAAATCTCCTGTGTCTTATATGCAAAGTTAAGATATCTGGTAGGCTAATGTTTATTCACACACCATTGACTATCAGTATTTGTATGTGGCCTGACCAATAATACTAAGTAAATACAAATTGGGAAGTGAGGATCTTATGTGGTAATTTTTTAAATATATATCTATTTCATTATTTAATATATATATATATATATATATATATATATATATATATATATATATATATATATCATTATTTAAACTATATACAACTCTTTATCCTCATCTCTGTTGTTATCATAAACATGTGGAATACTTCACATTACAAAGATGTTTTGTGATAATAACAACAACAACAAAGATTAGGACAATAGTAGTATTTAAAAAGTGTAAAAGATAAGTTCCCATTCCAGAAATTATGATTATTATTGTATTGAATCAGCAAGTTGGATTGTGTCAAGTTTTCAGTTTCCAATCAATATAATGGAATTCATCTGGTAACTGAAAAGAATACATTCTTTATAAGTTTAAAAAAAATCAAGATAATGAAAAATCTTTATAATGTTATGCAGTGTGAATTCTCACATTTTTTAATTTTTATCAGTATCACCCTATACAAGTCACTAAAGCCACTAAGACATAAGGGGGTTACATGGTAGGGAAAAATTAAGAACAGAAACATTAATAATGAGTGGGAAGAGGATAGAGTAATCAGGAGGACAGTAGATAGCGATTGACATTGTATTTAAATTTTTGAAGATTAAAGTTGGCTGGAAAGCATGGTGCTAGAAAGGAGTTCCACAAGTTAAAAGTGTGAGAAAAGTAGCTGTTAGCCTAGAATTTACGGCTACATCTAGCCAGTACAACTGTACATTATGAGAATTATGAGATCTCAACATCAGTCTACTGCTGCACTTAAATTCAAAAAGTCTAGGAGCTCATTTGAACAATTACCATGAAACTATTTATAGAAAAAACACAGAGAAGCAACCTTATGGTAGCGGGAAAGTGACTGAAGCCAAGCTGCCAGATCAAGACCAGTAATATTGCCGATTCTTATTTGGATTTTATCAAGGAGCTCAAGGTAAATAGCAGGGGCACCAGACAATATGTGGCAGCAATATTCTAAGTGAATGGTAGACTTATTTGATAAAAACTTCAAAGTTCTTGTTGAAATGTTACAATCTACACAACATAGATTAGGATACTAAACTAAAATAGTTGTCATTTACCATAAATCATAAATAAAATATATATTTTTGTTCTTATTTAGTAAATGTGAAGAAAATGAAAATTTTTATTAATCTGAAAATATAATTTTTAAAATGTTTTTCATATAATCTTTTTTCTGACTAACAAATTTAGCAAAGCTTTCAATTAAATTTATTCTTTCTATTGATCTCAGGTGTAAAAACCATTGTGAAAGAGAGTATTTCCTTTCTTTCTTTCTTTCTTAACATGATGTTAAAAGGCAAAAAATATCAGTTAATATATCAATTAGTTCATTCAAGCAATGTACAACAAAGAAGCAATACCTACATTTCATGTAACACAGGTGGTTCTTATTTACACACAGGTGTTCTATAGTTCTTACTAAGAACAACTAAGTTCTCAACTATGAAAAATAATACCATGTTGAAATCTAATATGAAATCATTGTGAAATGACTTGCGCAACTATCTAACAAGTAGATGTATGCTGATACTTTTAATTTTCTTACCCTTGGAGGTCATCAAAAGTTAATTTGTAAACAAAATTGGACCTTTATGCTCACAAAAAAGACAAAGTGTCAAATGGACGGTTACCCCCCTCCCCCAGCATTGCTATTATTTTAATTACTTTCACTCCTTTGGTAATGTTTATTGTTTAAAAAAAGTGATGATTAGAATTGTAATAAAACCTAAACATACATTTCTTTGTTCTTGAAAGTTTACAACAAAAATGTTAAACACTATTTATTAAATTGTTTATTTACAAGAATAATTTTATATTAACATTTTAAAACCTAATTTATTTGTATTAAAACTAATGTAATGCAATATTTAATATTTACCAATTTATAAAGAAATAAATATGAAAACAATTTTTTATTTATAGAGTTATAAACATTTACTAAATTATTAAAACATGTGAACCAACTATAAGGAAATCCTTATCATTTACCATTTTATAAAGTTTAAATCGATTGGCAATTAGCCAATGTTTTGCCAACCATTCCAATAAACAATATGATAAATAGTGTAAATACACCTTTTAAAACAAACATTACTGAGGAGTAAAGGTAGTTAAAATAATAGTGGTGTCAAGGGAAAAACTATCCTTTTGAGACTTTTTTTTTTTCTTGCAGGCACATATGTCCAAGTTTGCTGATATTTCAATGTTTAATTCCGATCATCTTCATAAATTTATGGAGGAAAGATGAAAGCAACTTTGAATGAATAAAAATAATCTGATAATATATATATTTTTTTTTAATCTCTTTCAGTGTCCAAGTGAAGGAGAGATTAGTGCTACACCTCGAAGTCATGGCTCTCCCAATCTGAGTGGATCTACCCGTAGCAGCAGTCAGGTTGATCTTGATGCAAATTGTTCCTCTCCAGATGTGCGTTCTTCTGCGGGGTCATCTCCTTCAGCTTCTGGCAGTGGCAGTGGTGGAGGAAGTGGTACTCCAGGAACAGGAGACAGAAGATATATGTTTCAGATGTTAGATGATGGAGAAAATTCTGGTGCTTCAGCCTTAGATGGAGGTCAGAAAGGGGAATGGGAGGGAAGTGATCAAATAGATGCTGCCAAACAACGGCTGAGGGTGGATGACATCCAAGGTAAAGTTTTTCCATTTCAATGAAGCAAACACTAAACACATGAGTGTTATTGCTTCTATCTTGCCTTCCTTTCTTTCTGTCTTTTCTCACTGAAACCAAACAGCATCTCTGGTATGCCTTTTCTATCTTTTCTTGCAATCAAAATGGAATAATCCATTATTTATGAGGTATTGATAAGACATAATGTAAATGCTAACTAATTAATTAAGGAACAAGTAGAATTATCATCAAACCATATAATAACTATCAATGTGTATTTATATATTTCCTGTCCCATCTGAAGTGGGAAATGAGGTTAATTAACTTAGTAAATTTATGAGTGATTACTTTTCTTAGTCATTTTAATAATCTATACAATAAAATAAAATCTGCATTTAGACAAAATTAGTTATTGAGCAAAATAAACCTTTTAATTAATCGGTTCCTTTACTCCTACATTTCTTAGATTTCAGTCTTATTTGTTCAAGCCTTTCATGTGAGGCACTCAGATATCAACTTGGTCTTGGAATAGGCTTTGTCATCACTGTATTTGTTGTTCTGTTGCTAATTTTTTTTCTTACAAGAGATATTTCCATTTCATTCTTATATTAGACACAAAATTTTGAACATGGAAAAATATTGAGCAAAAAGCAATTTATAGAATACCAGGAATAATCAATGAATCATAGATAATATTGAATGTCTAAAAATCTAAAGGGAACGGGTTAATTAAATTGTTCATTAGCATATATTTTAGTTGTGAATTCTTTATCTCTTCTTTACTGAATCTCAATACATTGTTTCAAGAACTTTTGTTTCATTGCATCTCACTACTGAAACTTTCTAACAAATGCCTTCATTTTATTTATACACTAGTATGATAATAACAATCTTCCCTTTTATCTGAGGTGTATATTTGAATATTGATAGCATTCTTTTGTATAAAAGAGAATTTCACTTCTGGTGAGGGTGCATTAATCAAATCTGATAATGAAAGTTAACAGCTGTTATTATAAGGACTAATTTAGGAAAATGGCTCTCAGTAATTTTTTCACTTCTTTTTCTACAAAGAGCTTCTTTTGATCAACCCCCTTATAGGATGGCAGATAAACAGGTTGACCTCAAACTGAAAATGTGACATGCCTTGCAGTTATAGATATTAGGTTTGTAGCTGTGAAAGCAACTGTCAGTGGATTTTTCCCCTTTTTGTCTATAACAGACACAAGATGAGTAATCAATGTATTATGATAATTGCTCATCTCAAAAATTCAGACAAAAACGTTTTGATGTAAAACAGTAAAATAAAATAGAAAAAAAAAATAGTCCAAGTTAATAAATTGATAATACTTGATCTAAAATATTCAGACAACTTAGAACTGTTATCTCCAGGTAAAAATAAGAGGAATGTCATGAAAGAAATAAGTCAAAAAGTAATAAATTTCAATGATTCCTATAAGAAATTTGGACAACTTATGCCATGAGATGTAAAAGAAACTGAAATTAAGATTAAAGAAATATTAGTCAGAAAGTAATAATAATGACAATGTGCCATTTAATAAATTCAGTCAATTAAAGTCATTAAATTTTTCATTAATAAAGTTTTTGATTTATTCCAGACAATAGAAATGAGAGTCCTTTTATATTACTTAGTCAGGTAAGCATTCAGTTTCATCGTCCAATTTCTGTTTTTTCTATTATTAATTAATTATAATAATAATAATAAGTAGTAGTAATGATGATGATTTTTTCCAGGTAGTGTCATCAAGACTGCAAAGCAACCCAAAATGGTGACGTATGTACAGCATTGACTAAACCCATTTTATTATAATCATTACATTATCTTGTATGATGAAGGCAATTTTATTGATTATCACAAAGCTGGTGAATGTTTGTGTGCATCTTATGGTTGGCCAAACAGGCTAACTTGATTTAAGGTTGAACATAGGATAGGTGGTGCTGACTTTCAGTCATTAGAAGTCATCATAGGTCAATTTAAGGTTACAACTGCTATTTTTGACTAAACTACAAATGAAGATATAAATCAAATTGGTCTAATTGTAGATGTCTATGTAAGTGCATTTATTTCTAAAAAATTTCAATGGTATTGGCCAAGTAGTTAGAATGGAAAATGAGACGGACAAGATGTATTCAAACTTAGACAGAGATGATCTGCATTCACTTTGCACTAATGCTCTTGGAAAAGGTATGAATAGGAATAAATGATGCAATTGACAAGTTCATAACAAAAAATAAATACTTGACTCATCTGATTGGATTCATTTTAAATATTTATGGGTACTTCACCTATTATTTTATAGACAAGGTTGTCATTCAATACTTTTCTTGTGAAATAAATATTATTCCTGGCCTTATTTTCTAATTAAAAATCAACAATTTATTAGTTAAAATGACCACATTTGACTTCTAGAAATTCAATAATTCAGAGTTTAAGATATGAAATAAATGAAGATAAAAATAATAATAATTTCTATATGAAACCATTAAATGATAAGAATACTTTTTTCTCAAAATTGCAGGTAAAAATTAATTAAAATAATTATTCAGTATTAATAATCATCCCCAAACAAATCAGCAGTGCAATAATTTGATTTTCAAGATGCATTATGGGAATGTTAGACATTTCCAAATAAGGAAACATTTGGGATTCATTGACTGATCAGCAAGTGCTAATTTTGACTGAAATTTTAAAAAATTTTCAGGAAATTTGTTTTCTTAAGTTCACTAACTGTTATTGCTCTTTCCAGTATTGATGGCGGGGGGGGGGTCCTTTTTAATATTTTGGTGAAAGTGGTACAGAATGTCAAAATCTTGATGATGCCATTATTTTCTTTTTGAGTTACATGTCATATCTATTGTAGTTGTTGCTGTTGTTGAAAGTCCTCAAGTCATTTAGTTTCTATTGGTACAATTCTTTGTTACTCTGTCATAAGGTTCAAGGAAGACTCCATTCACTCAAAGCCATTTTCAGCCATTAATCTGAGGAAGCAGTTGTATACAGTTGACAGTTTAGATATTTCTGAACAAGTTTGGTGCTACACATGACATCCGTATGAAAGTCTTGATGTGACAAGAGGTTATTTTAAGAAAATGACTTGAGATTGTATGAAGGCCTTAACTTGTTACTCATTTTATGCCCCTGTTGAGACTGATTTTTCATAATTTTTTCTTAATGGAGAACATTCTCATTTCAGGAAGAATACACTGAACATCGCTCCGGTATTTGTTACTGTCGATTTAGTAATTCTGGTCAATATGTGGCCAGTTTAGATGCTGATGGAGTTGTCAAGTGAGTTTTTTTTTAAAATCAATTTACAACTAATTTGAGAAAGTTAAAGGTTAACTGTAACAACATGGCAATCTTTATGTATGTGAAATTCAAAACTATATTCTTCAAATCTCTACTTATGAATGAATATTGATGAGGAAAATGATTTATTATAGCCATTGTCAATATTGTCTCTTTGAACAGCTAAGTCTTTTATTTCAAGCTGAGTGTAATTTTTATTGTACATCATAAGCCAGATTTTTTGGGCTCAGGGAGATGAGATGTTAATAAAAATTTGGCTTAATACAGAGAGAGATCCTATATGGAGTTGATGAAAACATAGAGTTGATTTACCTTTTGTTTACTGCTTAAGAAGTGTTTTGAGCATATTTGAGAGTCAAAGAGTATGTGGCCAGACATTTGGCCAAACGGACATTTCACCGAAAAAGTACAAGTAAAAATAGTAACAAACAATACTTTAAGCATTTCAATTAGCTAATTAGGTAAAATAGGACTAAATAATTACCACTGAATTTTAAGTGATTAAATTACTAAATCTAAATTTAAAGTTAAAAGTTTTCTTATTTCAATATTTGTTTATTGAAATTAGTATTTTTAAAAATATTTGAGTGCATTTGGGTAAAAAATAGCAGCTAATTATTTAAATTTGTATTTAACAGTAAGATAAAAGTTAGTTCATCCCCTTTAAGATAATGATCATTAAAAGCGAAACTGAAAGATTTTTTATATTGTAAAAACTTTTTTTTTTTGCTGTAATAAAATGTGCTTTTTCTCAAAATACTTATCATTTTACAGTAATATTTGAAGTAAAATATAATATATACAGAATAGATTTAAAAAAAAAAAACGAAAAATTATAAATTAATCCAGTAAATAAATATAAATATATGTAGCACATTACAATAAAGAGTGTGACATATATATAAGTATCCCACTGCATTTTTGGCTAAATGTCCATTCAGTTAAATGTCTGAGTACCAAAGAGTAAAGGGTTCAAAGGGTTAAATTGATAAATATGACTTAGTGCCACCAACCAACCATGAAACTAATATGACTCAGCAATTTACTCTACTAAATTTATAATTAATACCATATATTCTGGTGTATAAGTCAGCTCCTAAAATTCTGAGCTGTTAATTGAGATTTAATTTTAAACCTATATTCAATAGAGAAGTTAATTCTTAAATCCAGGTAAGTGATTAGACTCTGATTGGATTGTTGAAAGAGATTAAGTGGATCAATACAAACCCTATTTTTATTCTAATAAGATCAAGTTATATTCCAGCATATACAGTAATTAAAATATATATTTGAAGGTAGTAATAAAGAAAAACCTTTGCAGTATTGGATGGTGATATAGAAAAAAATAGGACTGTATTTTCTGCCAGATCAGGTGCCTTTCTGTTATTACAACCTTTTACAAAAATCCCCCTTGACCAACATGAGATTAACACTTAAACAATCCCGTTTGATATATTAGCCCTCTGGTGTACACAGAACAAAATATATAGGATTATAAATTATTAAATTATAATCAAAGTAATGTTAAAATATAAAAAAATAGATATGTAAGTAAGGATGAATCATCAGTTAAATAGTTTTTGGTTGTGTTTTTTTTTTTTTTTTTTTTACCATTCATTCCAAAATGAATAAATAATCTATTATTCCACATTAAATACAATAATTGTAATTTCTATCGATAAGAGTTAGTAACAATTAGGTCCTTCTATATTTCTTTTATTTTTGCTTTCAGAGTTTGGACTTGGAGTCCACAGCCTTCAACAAAGGCCACATGTATGGCCAAATCTCCATTCTTATCTTTGGAATGGTCACAAAAATCAGATCGTCTGGTGAGAATTTTTGTTTTATATTTCATTTGTTCATTTTGATGAGATATTTTCTTGTTAAGCATAAAAAACAGTATTGGGCATTGAGGGGTTGAGTCGCAAAAACAAAATGTTTTTTTTTTTTAGTCAGGTAATTTTTAGTGTAAGAAAAAACATTTATATGAAAAAAAATCTTCCAAAAATTCAGACTGGTAGTAAAATGGCAATTTTTTATTTTTTATTTTAATCATTTCATGCCAAGCAAGGCAATAAAGCCCCTAGGACGTAAAGGGGTTGCTGAGTGTTAGAGAATATGAGAAAAAACTAATATTAAGGAGAGAAAACAATAAGAGAACAAAAATTAAGAAGGCAGAAGATAACAATTGACATTGTATTTAAATTTTTGAAAATCAAAGTTGACTGGAAAGCAAGAAACCGGAAGAGATTTCCACAGGCAAGAAGTGCGAGAGAACAAACTGTTAGCATAGAACTTACGCTTACATCTATCCATTTCAACTGTAAAATGATGAGACTATGCTGCCAATCTATTATTGCATTTAAATTCATAACATGTCTTGATACCAAAGTGGAAAGTTTGACCTTTTAATGCATAATGTTAATCAAGTGGAACAGCCTACATAAAATTTTGTTTTATTTTCTGACAAAATCATCATTCTTTCTAAAATGCATGTTGATTAAATTGATTTAATTTAATGTAGAGGCTATAATGAAAATGCAGCTTTCCCACTGTTGTAACATAACTTCGCTGTGCTGCATTTTTGATAAATAAATTGTTCTGATGAACTTTCCATTATAGTACCTAGACTTCATGAACTTAAGCACATTACTAAATTGGCAGCAAGGTCTCATCATTTTACAATTGAAATGGCAAGAGATATAACCATAAGGTCTTTGCTAATAGTTTCTTCTATTGTACTTCTCAATTGTGAAACTCTCTTCCGGCTTCTTGCCTTCCAGTTAACTTTGATCTTCAAAAATTTAAATGCAATATTTATTGTTATCTTCTGTCTTCTTAATTCTTGTTCTTTTATTACCCCCTCTCCTTAATAGTAGTTTTTCTCATATTCTCTAACACTCAATAACCCCTTTGCATTCTAGTAACTTTATTGCCTTTGGTCTTCAACAGTTTAAATGCAATATTAATTATCTTCTGTCTTCTTAATTCTTCTATTTTTCTCTCTCTTTAATAATGTTTTTTTTGTTTTCTCATATTCTCTAGCACTCAATAAACCCATGGCTTTATTGTCTTGACTGGGGTGAATTGATAAAAAAAAAAGCAAAGAATATTACACCAAAGATTGTTTCAAACATGCTGTATATCTTAGATCATTTGACAAAAATTGTTTCTGACACAGGATAGCAAAAAGTTTCTACCATTATTATTTAATTCTTTATTTTACTTATTATTACTTTTTGTTAATATATTTGATTGATAACATTTCTACTGTTTGAACAAACAATATGAACTTGGAAATAAGAAATTAATTTCTAATATGACCAGAACTTATATCCTTAGGATCCAGTCTTTCCTAAATATCACATTGACTAAAATCAATGGCACTTTGATGAGCAGTTTAAATCTTTATTTAATAATATTTGGTTAGATTCTGATTTATAAGAAATGTTTACCAAGATAACTACTTGCATGCCTGGAAATTGGATAATGGAAATTATGTGTGGTATAGTGTTCATTTGATTATATTGAAATGTCATCACACACACACACACATATATATGCACATCAATGATCAATCAAAGTTGAATAGTTACTGATAAATGCAAACCTTTCTCAGACTCTCAAAACATTCGTATCTGCTCAGTTTCATATCCTAATGTAAGCAAAGCAATTTCTAAAGAAATGATGGATTTTTATTTATTAAACTTTCAGATTTTATTATTTAAAGTTATTTTTAGTGGATACCTATGTTTGAGTAGATGCTCCATTTAAGATTTCTCGAATATTCCACTGTTTTTATTAAAAAGTGGAATATTTGAGAAGTCTTATTAAAGAAAAATATGTGCTCTCTGGTAGGATTTGAACCTGCATCCTCTTTAGCAACAAAAACTGTCATTAGATCTAATATGCTTCAGACTGTCTTGGCCACAAAGTGTGTCGATGACCAAGCATAGTTGAATAGTGCCTTTATATATATATATATATATAATATAAAGCATTTAATGTATTTTTTGTGCAACATTTCTTATTACTGTAAATGTTATATTTAGTAGGTACCTATGTTAGTATTGACATCTTTGTTTTTTTTTTTTTTTATTTTGTAACAGTCAAATTATTATCTCAAGATTAAAAATTTTAGTAAAGAAAATATGACTCCCTGAAGGAATGGAACCTGCATTCCCTTTTAATCTGGAAAAGCACTTTCAAGCCGTGCATACTTTACCATTAAACTTGTGGTGAATATGAAATAAAAATAACTCTTTTCTCTATTGTTTTCAAATTTGCACACCTATGTGAAAATTTGTTTTGACCAATGGAAAAGGGAGCAGCTTACAAACTGAAAAGAAAATAATGGGCCGATGTGAAATTACTTGATGTCAATAAATAGGCAGAGAAAGTTGAATTAAGGCAGAGAGAGAGAAAAAAAAACAGAAAGAAGCAGGAGGCAGAAAGCCAGAGTTCAATGCATCTGAATAATGCCAATATCAAATTATATGCTGATACATTATCAGCCTCTAATGAGAGCAGGACAATTTCAAAGAACTCTATTCAACTCAAAAGATAAGTGCCTTAAGATATATCTCTTCATTCATGTTGAATACAACCGTGTAACTTTTATGTGAAAAACGAACTCACTCAATTTGTTTTAAACATTTTGGAATATTACCTTGTGTCTGACGATTTAATATGTACGTTTTCTCTTCTTGAGAATTCATCGAAACTATGAACTGTAAATATTTGATTCCTTTTCCTGAAACAAGCTACTGACAACTTCAAATGTGTAAATAAATTCCTGATCTTATTTTGTTAAATATAACATGTGTGTTTCCTTGTCATTATCCCTCAGTACTTCAAGCTACAGGGAGCCGTTACTACAAAACTAGGCTCAATTACTCTGTTATAAAGTAGGATTTCCTTCATATTTTACCAGTCCACCAGTAGTCATTTATTTTGTATACCAAGAGCTTCTCTAATCTTACTGCTTGGGCATTTATATAGTCTACTAGCAGCATGGCCCAGTGTTGCCTGTGCTTGATTCAAAAATCGTACGACATGCAGCAATTGCTATCACTTGACTTAAAATATTTTTGCCCTTCCTTGCCTTTAAAGGAGTGCCCTTTGCCGTGCTGATGTTGCTACATGCCTTACTTCTTGCCTATCTCACACTGCGAATTTTTTCTAAGCTCTATACTAAACATTAAATCTGTTACGAAAAAAAACTAAACAAAATGAACACAAAACAATCAGCTTTAAAAAAGGACTCGTAACTGGAAAAACCGAATGAAAAAAGAATGTTAACAACAAATACTTTTTCACAACCAACCCAGTTCTGTGGAATCAGAATCAACGTTGAATTTAAGCAAGTGAATGAGCCAATTGGTGTAAAGTGCCATGCAGATTTAAATTTTTCCCACTTGTGACGAATGCAGCTATCGATTTTTTTTTGCATGCTAGCATGCTAGTTAACATTCGTGTCAATCAGCTGTTGGCTCTCACATTGGCCAATAGACTCTTCCTGCCTATTCGTGGCAGCCAGCTATAGGCTCTCACTCTGGCCAGTAGAAAATGGCCGCAAACTACATGAAAACTGCTGTAGAAGCATGAAAAAATCGATTATTTCCACTATCGATTGGAGTTGGGAAATGCAAAGTCGGTCTTGGCCTTCCTGCTAACTTGGAGCATGTGCATGTAAATTTTGGTGCTAATCCGTTGAAAATTGTGGCCGTGCATTCGTTACACGCACACACACATCCTGCCTTTTATAGATAGAGATGCCTTAGCTAGTAGGCAATCATTTACATATCACTACATATCCATTTGCACATTATTTTGTTTATGCTGCAAATATTGTTTTAGTAAAAGCCAATTATCCACATTATTATCATGAATGGACTGATCTATCCATGATAAGTAGTCCTGGGTAATTGTCTAGGAGGATAATGCTATTGCAGCGACTTGTTTAACTGAGAATTGAATACTACTATCATGACTGACTCTGTTGAGTTCAGTGTTGTGTCTTGCCAGACCCCACATCACAATAGTTGGTGATGAGGATGATTTATTATAATAGTGGGGAACAAAGATTGGGTTTTTTTTTTTTTTTCAGTTTTTGAAATCAGTAGATCAAAAAAAAAAAAACTTACGCTGGAAACAAGGAAATGTTAAAACTTCTGAAATGTGCATTGGAAGCAAATTTTCAAATCAAACAATTAAAGTTGAAGGACTTGAAAGTAGTAATCTTGAAATTAATAAAAGAACAGCACCAACAATTCCAAGAAACGTTGTTGTAACAAGAAGAACAACAGCAAAAATACCCACTCTTTTTATGAAGAGTAAAAGTAACGTAAACACATCTACATTTTTTTTCACAGGACTTAGTAGTAAATGCAATTGGCGAATTTAAATATCACCCTGATGAAGGGATTACATTTGTAGCATACTACAGACACTTTGAGGAAATCTTTAAAAAAACTTTATAAGCTGGTTGGACAAGAAAAAGTGTGCCTGTTACTAAGAAATTTAGGGCCCACAGAACGTGAAAAATATGTGAATTACATCCTGTTGAAAAAATTGAATGTTTGAAGAAACTACTATGTTGTAGTTGATACAGCTAGAATTGAGGAAAGCAATGTATCTCACATAAATTTGGTTTGTCCCAAAGCATATGGGAAAACAAAATACTTTACAAATCCATGTCATGGATACGGCAAACTACATTTCAAGAGGAACTCTGCCCTTTTAAGAACAAAAAATATTGCAACAGTGGAAATTTGGGACACAAGAGTTTGCATTGTAAAGTTAAAAAAAAAAAAAGAATAAAAAGTCA